GCCATCCGCCGCGCCCGGCCCGCCTGCTGCTGGAGCGCCGGTCCCTGCGCTCCGCGCGCCGTGCTGGCTGCGAGGGCGCGGCGCGCCGCCGCCCGCCGCACAGACTGCACTCGGGCCGGGCCAAGTTGTGTACATCGAAAGATCCGAGCTGGGCAGGGGGGCCTGCAGCTGCCCAGCAGCTGCCGCCGGCCCGGCGTCTCGCAGCCACGAGCCGCGGGGCCGGGCTCCAGGTGCCGCGGGGCCCTCGCCGCGCCAGCTGGCAAACGCCGGGATGCTGGCCGAGCAAGCCAAGGCGGCGGCCGCGCTCTTGGGGCGTGGCGGCGCCAGCGGCGAAGCTACGCCGTGCATTGTGCCCGGGCTCGGGCTGCGGTGGGGTGGGCACAGGATTAAGGGACTGCTGCGACCATCCATGAGCCTGCAGCTCCCCGCCGTCTCCCTTGCCGTGCATGCCGAAAACTGCGCGGCGGAGGGACCGGCGCCGCCGGGGCCGCGGCGGGCTCCGCCAGAGGGGTCCCTGTCGGGAGCGCCGGCGCTGCAGCTGCTGCTGCTGCCGCTGCCGAACACGGTGGGGGATGTGCGGCCGAGGATCAGATGGGAGCCGCCGGCAGGCTTGAAGGGCGGGGTGCTTGCCGGCCTCTGCCTCGGCTGGGGACTCTGGGCCCTTGATGGGGCCGGCGGCGCCGCATCTGTGGAAAGCGTTGGGAAAGCCGGCGGGGCGGCGCGGCGAGGGCGCAGGTCGCAGCAGAGAGAGGGGCGGTCAGCAGAGTGAGGGGCAGCTGCGGTTGGGTGCGCAGCACAGGACGTGGGATCCTGCATTTCAAGGCCAGCCAGATTGTGCGGTCCACCTGCTCGGCGCTCAGGGCTGCTGGGGCGCCCCCATACAGGCATCGGCGCCTTGGCGTGCGCTGCGGTGACGGAGCTAGCACAGTCGCTTGGCGTGGCGCACGCGCTCCCTGGCCGCATGCCCAGGCGTGCAGATCTTTGGCTCATAATTGTCTGCAGCGTTATACCAGGCTCTATTACTCGTGAAAACAGATCCAGGGAGATTTGACCCTCGCGCCGGTAGCACGACCGCGAAGTACGATGTTGAAATGATTGGAATGTATTGATTCAAGCACTGTGTCTACCTCCTGCACGCTGTGGACCTGCTCTTGGAATGCATGTGTATCGTGTTGCTGCCGCAACAAAGACAAGCTGTAGTGAACAATGGGCGCCGGTGTGCAACGGGCGCCGGGCACGGGCTGCGGCTAAGCAACTCGATGTAGCGCAGCCATGACTAATGATCTTCCGGTTGGTGAGGTGAGCGGGCACGTCAAGACGTTAGCCGTGTCCTGGTGGATCTTGCTACACAAGTGCATCAGGCGGGAGGTGAGAGCTGCGCTCGACGGGGCGCCTCTCTGGTATGTGGCGCGATGGCCGTGCCAACCATGGGATTCAACCCCCCGCCGCCCCGAACTAGTGCAGTTGTTGGTTTCGGCTGCGCTCGTGGCCGCATCACAGCGCGTTTTCTTGACTAAACCTGTGCAGCAGGGTTTCGCCTTCCTAATCGATGTGCGGTGACACAAGGTGAAACGCTCAGGTTTGGCCACCCTTCGTAGGGCGTTCGGATACTTTGCATATTGTGGGCAGAAATGCGTCAGGAGCGACCCAGTACAGGAATTCCTTCGGCAGGCAGGCGAATTCATGCAAGCACCCAAGCACGCACCAACCCAGAGGTGAAATCATCGATACTATCGATGCATGCCTGTTCCTGGAGTGCCTATGTCACAACATGCCGCGGTAAAACAAATGAGACCATCCAAACAAAGGTGCACCTGAAGTAAAGTTGTTGCTGCACCACTTCTCATCCTCTCACCCAACCTCCTCCCAATCCGCGACCGCCAGCCAGCTGACCGCCGCCCGCAGGGCGTCCGCCCCGCCGGCGCAGCGAAGCAGGTGGTGCGCCACCGAAGCCCGCACGCCCCCCGCCCACGCGCGCGGATGGTCTTCGGCCTCGAGCCACGCCATAAGCTCCCCATCCTCCACCCGCGCGAAAAAGGACGGGTCGTCCCCATAGAGATGCATCACCACGTCGAGCCCCGACCCGCGTTTGCCCAACATAGAGAGGACGCGGCGCAGCGGCGCAAAGGCCGCCTCGCCCTCGGCTGGCGGCCGCGTATGGGCGCCGCCGCACACGCGGCCGCCGAGCAGCGCGTGCAGGCTGTCGCTCCACGCCATGCCCCCGCATTGCTGGACGAATGAGAGCCAGGAAACGAGGTCATACCAGGTCACCCCTAAGCCCGACCACGACATGTCCTCCAGATGGCCGCCGCGGATGGCGCCGATCATCCCACTCAGGGCGGCGCTCGCCTGCCCCTGGACCCTGCCCCAAGGGTCCATGGGTCCGTAGTCATGGTGAGTCGCCAGGCGCTGCGCCTGCCGGCTGCCCAGCACCGCCAGCAGGTGGGGGGAGCGCCCCGCCTCGGCTGCGCGCGCGGCCGCGCAGTTGACGTAGTCCTGCATCACAGACAGCTCGTCCACCCAGGCCCGGAACATGGGGCGGCTGGCCCAGGCCCCCGCCCCGCCGAGCGCTTCCAACTCCGCCAGCGCCGCCGCCTGCAGCTTGTTCAAGATCTGGCAGGGGTGCGCGGTCGAGCGACGCCGTGTGTGCATGCGAGCGCACGGGCTTGCGTGTGCCTGCAGAAGGCCTGTAAAATCTCAAAGCCGCTTCGTGCAGGCAAGACTCCTCCCTACTATTTGGCATGCAGCCTGCATCTACAACCCTGCAGTCTGCACAATCACCCTGCATCCAACTGTGACTTAGGGGCTCCAGCCATACGGCCTCCCACCTGGCTTTGCAGAGCCCATTGCTTGCTCAGTGCGCGCTCCACATCCGGCGCCGTGCCGCCCCGCACCGCTCGCATGACACCCAGCTGCAGCCGCTGAGATACCGGGCCCTGCGTACCCCACTCGCACTCATCGTACATGGCAGCAAAGTATGCGTATGCCATGTCCTCCGACTCTTCCTCGCCCCCCGCTGCGCCCAGGCCGGGCCAGCACCCCGCCATCTGCCTCTGCATAGCGCGCGTCGCCGGCCGGGCGCGGCGCGCCCCCAGCCGCAGGCCCGCGCGGGCCAGGCGTGGTGCCAGCCACGCGCGGCCGGCCATCGACAGCGTCTTGTACTGCGGGGCGGCCTCGCCCGGCGGGTCCAGGGCCGCCACCACCGCCTGCAGGACTTCCATCGCGATCCCCCGGCGCCGCGCCTCCGCCCAGACCTCGTCGAGGGCCGCAAACAGCGCCGCGGGCGCCAGAATAGGGAGCACGTTTTCCCAGCAGTCGGGGGTGCCCCAGCCCTCGCGCCAGGGGCCGCCGTTTGCCGCAAGGCGGCAGACGGCGTCCGCCAGTGCTTGGGGCAGCTCGCGGCGCTCGCCGGACGCGGCCAGCGCGGAGCACGCGCCGCGCAGCACCTGCCCGTGCAGCTGCGTGTCGGACAGCGTCGCCGCGCACGTCGCCGCGGCGGCGACGAGCTCTCCGACCCTTGAGACGCGGAGGCTGGGCTGCTCAGTTGCCAGCAGCAGCAGCTGCTCCTGCACCCCCGGCTCGCAGAGCGCCGGCCGCGGGCCCACCTGCGCGCCCCGCAGGCACAGCTGCGCGGCGGCATCCCAGCTCGCCGCGGCCGTTGCCTCGCGGCAGGCGCGCACGTGGCCTTGGTCGCAAAGCTCAAGGTCTTCGCAGCGCTGCTTCGAGATGGAAGCGCTGAGCTGTTTGTGGCAGATCGTGAACACCTGCGCCGCGTCGCCGCCGGCCGCGCGCGCGCCGAACGCGCGGCGCAGGTCCTCGGGCTCGCAGAGGAGCCCGCCCGCCAGCGCGCTCCGCACGACGCTGGCGGCGCAGCGGCGGACGGCAAAGGGCTGCAGGTCTGCAAGCATGGCTGCCGTCGCATCCGAGCCGCCGTCGTGCGCTATGCGGACGATGTCCATTGCGTCAGCCCACCGGCCGGCCAGCAGGGCCGACTTGGCAGCCGCGACAATCTGGTCGCGCGGAGTCACCAGCTCGGTGTATTCCCCTAGGCAAAAGCCCTCCGCTGGGCACAGCAGGCGGCGCAGCGCCTGGGGCTGCAGCAGCGCCGCGACGCCTCCCTGGGCCGCGTAGGGCAGGAGCAGCAGGGGCGCCGTGGGCCCGCAAAGCGCCAGCAGCGCTCCCACGGCGTCGCCGTGCAACAGCAGGCGCGCCTCTGCGGCCGAAACGTCTCGTGCTGCACGATGCTGCTGTTGCTGCTGGTACTGCTGCTCCTGCTGCTGCTGCTCCTGCTGCTGGTCCTGCTGCTGGTCCTGCTGCTGGTCCTGCTGCTGGTCCTGCTGCTGCTGCCGTTGCTGCTGCCGCTGCTGCTGCTGCTGCTGCTGCTGCTGCTGCTGCTGATAATGTTTGGCGTAGCGCAGCATCCACAGCACCATGCCCTCAGCTGTCTGCTGCTGCAGCCGTCGCCATGTCACTGCTGCATACTGCCACGGCCGCCCGGGCGCTGCGAGTGGGTGCTGCGCCCGGAACCATTCGACGTCAAACCTTCGGCACAGCTGCAGGCTGCCGCTGCTGGCAATGGCAAAATTGGTGGGGTCCGGGAGGCGCACGACGATGCTGTGCAGGATCTCGGACGGCAGAGCCGTGAGGAGCGTAGATCGAGGTGCCGCCATGACGCTCCAGCTACTACGATGCAGCGTTCCCCGGGCAGTGCCTTGCCGCCGCCTCAGTGGTGGTCCTGCAGAGCGCCAAGAGCCAGGAAAACAGGCTGTAGGGTTGACTAACACAAACAGTGCTGATTATCTTGTGGTGCGGCGGCAACAGCAACCGTCCTTATCATCGTCATCAGCAGATGCATCAAGCAGCAGGCGCTCAGCGGACCGACGAGCCAGCAGCTGTGCTACAACCAGGCCCAGGAGCCCGCCCACTGACGCTCACCCACCAATAATACCTGAAGACGTGTCAAGTCATATCAAATGCGCGCTTGGGTACGTGATCTACCCGGGATGATCTCAGGACATTTCAAATCTGCACGTTTGATATGACGCAGACACTTCGTTGAGCGAACACCCTGATTGAAAGTAACAACGTATCATTTGATATGATACTGCTGCCAAAGCTATCATAACGCTGGGACAGAGCCTGATACACAGCGCCCCCACCCTTTGTTCAGAGTGGCTGATTGCTGGCTGCTCAGCAGTGCAGCTGTGCTGCACATCTCGCACGTACAGTACGCATGGGCGGCCCCCACTCCCCCACATTCCTGCGAACCTAGCGTTACTGCACCCCCCGCGTAACACGGCTCTTTGAGTGGGGGTGCCGCTCAGTTGGGTATGCGGTCGGCAGCCGAAAGCGCACTGAGCCTGGGCGACGACGGCCCCGCCCTTCCTGTTGTCGTTTAGAATATCGGCCGCTGTCCGCTGGCGGCGTGTATAA